TTTGTCGACCAAAATGTGAGTGCATCAATAGCGATGAGTGCACATGGGATTGACCGACATCATAGTGGTGGAGATAGTTCACTTTTCTATTTTTTATATTAAAATAAACTAAAACTGAAAATACGATCATCTTTTTAATCAAAATCCATAATCACGCGTTAGACACATAATATTTATGAAAATTTCACGACATATAAACGGGCAAATTGGAGCACTGGTCTCCAATCCATTGTGTTAGTGCAAATGAGTTCCCATTCTATTATTTTGGCTTACACCCCAACATGTCATTTTTGTCGCACCTCAATCCTCAACTGACGGAAACCATCCAAATGATTCTTAGGATATGTTTGACAGGTGAGTTTTTCTAGAGAAAATGGAAACCATTTTCCGTGTCCCGCTTTTTTTAGTGTTTGATAGTGTTTTTTTGACAAGAAAATCTTTTCCCGCAGCAGCACTCACTCCCCTATTTTCTTCAGAATTTGGGAAAAGCTTTTCTCACTGCTGCACGTAAAAATTTTTTTTTGTTTGTTTTTTTTTTTTATTTTTTGTCAATGGAAACAAATTTCATAACCAATTGTGAAAAAAATTTCACTTTCATGGACAATTTCCATATAAAACGAAGTCAAACGAACACTAAACTTTGATGAAAAAAAGTTTTCGAGCAAATTTTTTTTTTTTTACTTTTTGGCAATGTTAACAAATTTCATAACCAATTGTCAAAAATAAAAATTTCATTTTAATGGACAATTTTCATGTAAAATAAAGCCCAACGTGAACAAAAAAAATTCAAAATTTCAAAATTTTTTCGGGTGAAAAATTATACCAATCAAACACATTTAACTAGCAATTCATTGCAAAACAATTTATAGGCAATTACTTTCCCTGGAAATCATTTTCTTTCCACCTATTTTCCACAATTGCAATCAAAACGCACCCTTAAAGTGTGCGCGCTTTTCAAAAAGACTATTATACCCTTACTCTTAATTATAAATAAATAAATAAAAGAAAAAAAATACAGATTCTTCGTATCCTCTAATTCAATATTCGAAGCACTCCATAAACCCACCACCACATTTTGTTGCTCGATGATCCAACCAAGTTATCAAATTCCTTCTCCTACAGCTCGCACGCTCTATTTCTCAACCCATCTCCAGCGCATGCTTCTTCCTCCTGCAAATCTTAATCCCAAAACAACTACGAAGAAAAGAATTATTAATTAAAGTTGGGTATGAAAAAAAGGAAAATGATCGGTTGGTTAGGAGTGGAGTTCTTGGTAGTGGACTACCAATTAAAGGAAGAATTCATGAATGAGCTACTTACAATTTCTTTTTATTTTCTTATTTTAATTAAGAATAAAAGTAAAACGATATTACTAATAAAAAAAAAAGTAGACACTTCAATTGATCAATGGATGATTTTGTTCAATGAGGACTTAGGTGCAATGATGACATGGTGATAATGCAAAAACATCTCCAATTATGCTATAAATTAAGGCTATGTCTGGTGCGGCTGTTAATTACAATTAGAGACGTTAGGCCGCAATTTTTGACTTCCTTGGTGAGAGAGTGGGCCCCAATTTTCTTAAGCAACGGTCAAATAATCACTTTTCTCTCAAATTTTAAGCTGGCACAGACACAGCCTAAATTTAAATTGTGATTTAGATTTTTAGAGGGATCGAAAACTTCTCCAATGAAGAGATGCGAAGGCAATGCAATTTGTATTTTTTTGCAAAAAATGTAAAAAAGACATAAATTAATGTATTTTTTTAGATCCACGAGATGCAAAAATTACCATCCCATTTGCAACCTAATTTTTTTAGATCTGTTTACTAAAGCAGAATTTGGATTTAAATCCACCAAATGTAAGTTAGGATGCAAAAGTGATTTCGAAGATGTCAATTTACACACAAGTTTACATCACCGTCGAAAATGCTCTAAAGATTCAAAAAAAAAAGAAAGGAGAAGAAGAATGGGGACTCGTTTGCTAATATGACAATAGGTCGGAGACTAATGTTTCAATTTTCCGTATAAAATGGGACAAATTACCAACGGAATCCTTTTTTTGTTTTGTTAAACCATCGATTAAAACAAAGAACAGATGCTACAGCCAATCAAGTGGGACCCATCTTCCCAACGTCTTAATCAAAGGCCAAAAAATTTTCCCCTGCATTCGCCTTTCCCAAATTCCATTCTCAAGATTACCGTGAAATGTAATTCCAGTCAAAAATCTAATAATCGAAAATGGCGACCTCTGCCTTCAAATCCACCACCAGGAGAGGCGGAGCTGAATCCAGAGCCCCACAATCCACAGCAACCAAACGACGATCCCATAGCGTCAGCGCCGTTTCCCGGGCATCCCACGGCCGTCAACTCGATAGAAGCAGTTCGATTTCTGATTTTGCCTATAAAAGAGATAACCCTCTCTTCTCTCCGGATAACGAAATAGAAAACGACAAGGGAAAAAATGGAAATAGTGGTGAAATTGCTTCTAGTAATAGTAATTTTTCAGTGTATTCTTCGAATGCGATTAATGGGAGTAGTATTGTTAGTGAACAAAGAGGGCGTTCGGTGACGAGAAATTCTCATGATGGCGGTGGTGTTAAGAATGGGATCGGTCGCAGCCTATCGCGAGTACGAGGTCGTTCTGTCTCCAGAGGTCACTATGGAGGAGGAGTTTCCGAGGTTTAGTCTTTAATTTCTTTCTTGTGATGCTCTGATAATCACTCAACAGAATAATAAAACAATAGCTCGATGATAACGTGATGCTGTATGATACTTTTATGGTTGGATTTTACAAACTGATTTGTTAATGACAAATTAACTGATCTTTTTAAATGCTGTTAAGAATTGTCATTTAAGTACTTGTCTTGTCTGGCTAATTGAATGTCTAACAAAGTTGATTGAATATATCATGGCCAAAATGAAGATGACATCGTAGTTCTTCCTCGACCAATGGGCTGGTTTAGGATTTAATTAATTATGATAGAAGTGAGGTCGATACATGGTGTCATAATCTACAAAAAGCTTTATCAAACATAAACTAAATGAATCATCTAGCCGCGTAATCTATTCTCCAAGGAAGAAGATAAATGAGATGCCTCTTCTTGTCTATGGAGTGTAGGTACAATCAAAACAGAGTGTTCTTGTATGAATCACTTTTTTAACTTGGTATTTTATTTCTATGACAGAGTGCAAAGGCACGGGATATGGATACATGGATGGATGCTCGAAACAGAAATGTGAAAAGACAGACTAGTAACAATGTGAAGAAAACTAATTCAGTTAGAAGTGAGGGTGATGCACGGGGTCATGTCAAGAATGCACGGCTAACTATGATCCAGAATCAAGCTATTGATTGGTTGGAAGATGATTCTGCTGTGAGCAGGGTTTATGTTCTTTTTAATAAAGTCGATACCTCATTGGTCAATTGTTATAATGACTTAGTAATTTGGGCATCTTTACATTTTTTCAGTGTAGTTTGCAAATTCCAAATGTGGATGATGGAATTTCAACAGGTTCTTTGTCAGAAGCAGAAGAGAAACTGGTAATGACTGTACCCTAACAAATGAAAGCGAGCCTGGATTATGTGCTTTAAACTTTCACGACATTTTTGATTCTGTGTGTTGAGTTAGTAGCCTTGCTTCGTTATTACTAGTTTGGGGACTAACTTTCTTCAGTAGCTGAATCATTTTTACCGGCGCTTCCATATTTTTAAAGGATCCATGTTATATGATCATGTATCATACTTTAGTAATTTGAGGTTGATCCGTGAAGTGATACATAAGGGTTACATAAGGTTGTCCATCTAGAACCCTAATCCCATTTAGGAGAGTCGCTTTCCATGGTTACTACCCTTAAAATACCTTACCATATCGAAGGGGCTCCACCCCACACCCCTAACTTATCTGTTTCTAATCTAATGGACTAGTCGATTCTGGTACGGGTCCTAGTGGCCCGTCCCCTTTTTTCATCAACTAGCCCCATATACAAAAATATGAGCCACCTAATCAACACATATAAAGATTATTTGTCTGTTTATCATCTTTGTTCTTTTTAACGTCTTGTCTTCCAGATTTAAGTTTCTGTAATGGATTATATTATTCTATTGATATTCTTTTCTTTGGTATCAAAATTCAGGCTTTTCAAGGGAATAATACCAGCACTATCACTGCTATAAATGTTGCCGATGTGCCTCCAGACTTAGTAAACCCTGGTGATATTGAATTGATCTTGGACATCAGAGAAGAATACGCCTCAAAACTTGAAGAGGTGATATTCAATCTCCCACCTTTTGCCTTTCTTCCTCTTGAGAATATATTTCTATTCAGGATTGCTGAAATTTATCAAAATTCAATGGTGCAGTCTGAAGAACGGGCAAGAAAACTTCGAGCAGATCTTGCTATTGAAGAGCACCGTGGGCAAGAGCTGGGTAGAATTCTTAAAGAGATAATTCCTGATCCAAAAACTTCTAGTGCTCAGAGATCTCGCCGAGGAAGAAGAGTAGGCTATATTTGCTCATTGTTTGTTCTTCCTTTCGATATAGCTAATTTGAAAATAAGCTATGCTATTGAAAGATAAATCTAAGAGCTTGTCTGGGAGATAGTTGAAAAATCATTTTCAACTACACATTCTGTGGGAACTTTCCCCTAGTTTTTAACCATACATTCTCCAAAAAAAAATCATTTTTCACTTGGAGAAATCTCTCCCAAACAAGCTCTAAGTCCTCCTTTGGAATGTCAAAGATAAAATGCCCTTCTTAGATTTGAGTTTGTTTTAGAAACTAAGCACGGGGCTGCTAATATCTAGTTGTGTTTTGTAACATACTCCTCTTGACAATTTGGAAATGCAAATGATTATGTTTTGTACAGGATTTGAAGTCTGGACATATACATCTAAAAGAATAATTTTTCCATTTTGTGTTAGGTAATTTAAAAAATGAGGTTTAAATATGGTGGTTGGTGAGCACCGAGGTCAATTAGGTGCATTCTGTGTCATCCCTCTTTCACTCCTGTCTCTTTTTATGTCTCTCTTTATGGGTGCTGCCTCTCCTCCACTTCCTCTTTTTTCTTCTATGTTATTGTTCTGGATTTTCGGGCCAGAATGTTGAAATGAAATCACACGTGACCGATCACGCTGTAGATATGCCTGCATAATTTTCATTTGCGAAAATAAGCTTTATTCAATTGACAAACCAAGCTACTAGGCTTTCAATATTTTTTACGGATTTTTTTCTTAAAAGAAAGGGAGTTTATATAGAAGGAAAGAAGAACTGACAAGCACAATACCATTAAAAGATAATGGATTCACATGTTGCAAACTCGCAACGATGAACTTTTGCGTCACTTCTATGCGAGACATATTTCGCACAAGAGTTATTAAGTTTGTGCTTAGCATAGATTTGCTGTGTGAAAATCCTTTTCAGAAGTGATTTTTTGATAAAGGCGTTACAGAAAATATTTTAGTGTTCATTACGTGCAAATGTGACTAGTTCTTCCATGAGAAACTATGGAAACTTTTAAGGAAATAGTTTTCTAAACTTGTTTTTGTGAAAAGTTGTTCCAAAAAGGTACTCCTACTTGGAAAGTCATCTTTAGAATTGGGGATTCTGCAAAAATCCTTGTTGGAATCATAATTAAATTGCTCAAGTATAACCTTTTCACCATCGGTTCTCGAGCTCTGCAAAATTCCTCCAAACATTGCCGGATTTTTCTTTCTGAGAGGTTAACCATCTTGTATCATTTAATCTGTTAGCATTGTGAAAGAACTTGCTTCGCGAGAGTTTTTTACTGAAGGTACACCCCAATGTTTTCTTGTTCTCTCTCTTCTTAACATGACATTTCCAAACAGTGCCGTATTTTTCTTATCTTGGAGAATAACCATACTCCTTTTGAAGTGTTAGCATAGCAAAAGAACTTGTGTCGTAAGCCATTGCATTTCTCTTTTGAGTTTCTGACTTGGTTTATTTCTTCCTCTCTATCTAGCTCCTCCTAACATGTTGATGACTCTATTAATTGCAGACAAGCAGTGAACGAAAACGGATGTCAAAACGTCTTACTGAAGAAGCCTTGGCATATTTTGATGAATGTGTGTCCTTATCAACTTTTGATAGCTCTGACTTCTCAGCATCAGAAGACCCATCTTACACCTCATTTGGAGTTATTACCCCCATTGGTGATGCTTTATCTTTACAAAAAAGTAATCTAAGCCCCTTGTCCTTGAATGACCATGGCAGTAGCCTCCACCAAAAACAGGTTCCTTTCTCAACTGAATGGTGGTTAATTTTTCATACTTTACATCAATATGACATGCTTATTGACTTGATGTATTTGTTGTTGTCTCGAATCGTGATAGATTTCACACATGAACTAATATTAAAGCACATTATTGATCCTTGGACTTGTCTTCATATTTATGCTAAATATCACAGAGATTATGGATTTTCTATGCTTCTTAATATGTTACTTTTGCATGTAAAAAGGAAAGCAATTTGAAAATTTATAATGCATTCATTTTCTTCTCTCCTTTTCTGCCTTCTCAATCTTCCCTCCCCCAATGGCAGCAAGTGCATTTCTATATTTTATTCAGCTATATAGAATATATCAATTCCTCTGCATCTGTACGACATTTTTGTCATTGAGCTTACTTACATATTGGTATTTTCCATTGCTGGTGGTCATGGTCTGATTTGTCGGTTAAGGGAACTTGATTTTGTTGGCGGTTGCATGCCATAGCAGTTAGATACCACAAACTTACGTACTGTTTTGCTAAATTTCAACTTTGAGTCATCATGGTAGTGGAGGTAGCAGTATATATTTTTAGTATCCTAACCTTTGTGAATATGATGTTTGGCTGTTGGCACTGGTATTCAACAGCAGACCAATCACTACAAGCTTATTCTTGATAGTGTACTGAGGGCTGAACCTGTTGATACTGGCATGCCATCAAAGATCAACCCATTTACAAGCTGACTCGTTCAGAAATTAAAAGATAACTCAGAATTCAGATCACTCACCCAAATTCATCATTTTGGGGATGATCCAGGTTTCTCTGTACATAAAAAAAGGAACAAAGACCACTTCTTTTACTGAGGACGTGTGACCAATATGGTCTTGAACTTAATAATTTGAAACTATTTGTCCTTAAAATTGAAAGAACAGCGTGTTTTAGCTGAATTCGGTTGAAAAGTCAAATTGTATTGGCCCATTTAACTCATGATACTGATTGAAGTAGTACCCAAATTTAGGATCCCACTGAACTCAAGGACTACAAGGAGGAAAAAGATTATATATTCACGAGATAAAAGTATGCTAAGCGAATAAATAGATTTTAGATGCTGAATGAGAGTACCAGTGGAGCCATTCGTGCTAAATCCCCAAATACCTGCAAGACGCGCGTGCAGTTCAGGTCTGAGCTGAGCTGATCTGAAAAAATTGAAGGTGCTAATCAGAGCTGAGAGGTGTAACTTATAAGCAGCGGTCATGCATAATTTGGTGATTTGAAAGCATATTGGTATTTTGGCTAGGCCAGCCATATTTATTTAATCTTTTTGTAATCTAGGTCTTAAATGGTTTGTGTAGTCTGAAATCTGAATTTATTTTTCTTTAATCCTCTCTTATTTTGCTTTTCCCTTTTTGGTCTCTAGTTCACAAGAAGTTTTGCTTACTGGGTAACAGAAAATATTTGGATCTGGCTTTCACCTCTCCTTTTACTCAGTGGCAGATTTCATGCATTACATATCCCTCACATTTTTGATGAAATCCAGACGTTTGTTAACTTGTCCTGAAATTATGATAAAGACAAAAGTACGCTAATGGTTCAAAAAGGTATATTATGAGATTATAGGCAACTTTGCATCCATTTCGTTTGTTTTGTGTTAATAGTTTCTGGTTTTGTAAAATTATCACAAACTATATGCGACGCTTCTCCATGGGTAGTTAGATCAATAACTTGTGACGGGAGCAATAATGGCACAAGTAAAGCGGTAACTATTGTATCGTATACGAGAGTTCTCTTTGATCTTACTTTTACCATTATTTGTTCTTTGGAGTGAAAATTGCCTCAATTTTTCTGAAGAGCTTTTAAAATGTTTGCTGAAACTTTTTCCTTATTAATGTTCACAATTTGGAAATCAGAGAGGCATGCTATCCTAAGAACAATACCATCATTTTACATGCTGCATCATATTTCATTCAGTCAGTGTCTGATCCAAATTTATTGTACCCAAGAAGCATTTTCAAGAAATTCAAGGAACTGTCTTTCACAGTTCATTATGAAAGCAGAATCAAATGAGCAATCATGATGCTTTTTTTTTTTAATTATGATACTACTCATTTATCATCATTGTAAATCATCAATCACAACATTGTATCCTTTTCAAATTGTTTCTTACACAGTAATAATGTGCAGCCCCTGCAAAGCTTCGAGAACTCTGCTTTAACAGCCCACAGTAGCAGTGATGAGCCAAGAAACAGTCAAGAATACCGGTTCTCTTTTGCTCATAAACAATTAGAAAGTGATGGAACTCATCAAGATATCAAAAGTTACATTGAACATTTTGGGGGAGAGATTTATAAGGATATCGACTCAGAGGTTAAAGAATCATACTATGATGCTGGTGAGTACAATTTACAAGGCCACATTGAGAGCGTGTATACACTGTCCCAGAAGAAATCATCCAGAATAGAGTCCGGGAGTTTGCTTTTATGTGGTGGTGCACTCTCGTCTTCCTCATTTGCTCCGGTTATCTAATGAAAGATTTACATGGCTGCGCCAGAAGTTTGTTATTGGAGAGGGTGTTTGCTTTTATGTGGCAGAGCAATTCAGTTTCCTCTGCTCAGCTAATCTTCTGGGAAAGAGGTAAAGATTTGTTCAAGCGAACTTGTATATGTATGCATTACCTTGCTCAAGTGGCTTGCTCGTGCCAATCAAGGTTACGAATGATTGTACAAAAGTGAGGAAGTTTTATAGGTGTACCTGATGGATGCCTTCTTCTAGCTTTCCACATCTCCAGTGTCTTGGTCAGACGAGTCCCACCCCCACTATTTTCAACGCTACCGATAATTTTATGCGAAAGTAATTCAAGTTTTGACCTGACCTATATTGTCCTGCCCCTAATAGCAAACGAGACAAGGACGCCCAAATTCGCCGAACTCACCTCGAATATTTTTATTTTCGTGTTTTTCAATTTAAATTGTATTTAAAAAATAACACATACACACACACACAAAAACACACGTCCTTGTTTGGTACCGCTACGAAATCTGATTAAAATCTAAGTTAAAAATCAACAATTAATTTTAACCACAAATTATATGGCTCATAATTTTCAACCATACCACTTACTTCATATGTGGGCCGAGCGTCAAAGATCAAAGAACTTTTTTCTTGTTTAGTTGAAGTTTAATTTGAAGTGTTGCAAATATAAAAAAGCAAAAAGAATTTTATTTACTATACTAGTAATTAATATTCCATTCCTTTTTCCGGGCATCTGAGATTAAACATTCATTTTTTCAAAAATATAGATCCCTATTACTAAATTTTGCACAAATTGTCAATCAAGCGTAAAGATGGCAACGGGGTGGGTTAGGGAAGGGGCACCCTTGCCCCGCCACACCCCCACCCCGCACCGCCCCACCTTAGACGGGGCGGGTTAAGGGAGCGGGCTTGCCCCGTTTCCTGTCCGTTTATTTATATTTTTTTTCAAAAACTTTCAATTAATCATTTTTTGTGTTTAATTTGTAGTTAATTATATTTTTTATTCTTCACGAGGTGGGGCACCCCCGCCCCGCCCCACGAACCCGTCGGGGCGAGTTTTTTTTGCTCCATTCGGGTTTGCCATCACTAATCGAGCGTGTGATCAGTTTTAAATTAAATAAATTTAACTATAAAAATAATAAAGTATCCCTTATCATCGTTCGGACTCCCCTCCTCTTCTCATAGTACGTTTTTCATATCCACCATCCATCCACGATATACAATATATCTCGAGAATAGGAAATGGTATTGTTTTTTTTTCTTTCTCCGAATTACCCACGAAACTAACATGAGTTACAGGTCGACTTGAAATAAAATCGACAAGTCAGAAAACAGTATGAACATTAAAAATTATCCCAAATTCGCCCTTTTTTCACTGGAGTTCATCTCTTGCGGTGGAACAAGACTGCTACGTACGCATTACATGCATGACAAGAAAGGGACTTGTCCTATATATTTATTGCTCAGGTCCTGGTGGGTTCACCTGTAAATTACTACAAAAATGAGGTTGTTTTATTATAATAAAGCTCCAAATGCATCCTTAAGTTCTCATCTCACCATACTGACAATTTAACCACTTCTTCGCCTACAAGGCTACAATTTAATTAATTCATTTTGGGTTTTTTTTCCTCAAATTTTTTTTTTATTTCGATCGAGAGAGAGAGAGAGAGATATTTCCAAAAATCACAATGAGTTGAACAAAGGCAATTGGTGGCATGGCTATGATTTGAGCCGTTTGGCCAAGTGTTCACTTCTTGATTAACCATGGTTCAATTACCCCAGCTTTAACACTACCTCAGGGTTAAACATAAACCCTTTATAATAAACTCCCACAATTTTAATTAATAAACTCCCGAAAACAAGTATTCCTACGTTATTACACGCTCGGAATGTTCGACTGAACACAAATAATACAAAGAGAAGCATATGAGATATTTGTCGATAAGCTAGATCTGACAAAAACAATAAGTAGAGACGCGGACGCGTGCAGATATTTGTCGATTGCGTTGTCCGTCAGTTAGTATCCAGTGTAACGAACCGACTAATCTCTTAAATACCCTCATGACTTGTTTAATTGCATTTTTTATTCTGTCCAATATCACAATTCAAACACGGACGAAATATTTCCACTTCCTTTTCCTATATAAATACCAAACCAAAGCTATTCATTTTTGCCTCTCTCACACACACTTCATTTGGTAAACAACTTTAGTTTACCAGAAAAGCTTTTTTCCTGTTGATTCTACACCAACCCACCCATCTCTCTCTCTCTCTCTCAGCGCACACATTTTCTACTGTGTCATTACTCTCTAGAGAGAGAAAGCTTAAAAATGAAGAGGCCCCCTCCTCCTCCTCCACCTCCACCACCTTCTTATTCATCTTCTTCTTCATCTTCTTCTTGCATCAATTCACCAAAACCCCAAAAAAAGTCCCAGCCGAAACGCGCTCGACCCAAGAAAATTCAGAATGCTGCTGCGGATTCTACTAAATCAAGAAGCTCCATTTTCAGAGGTGTCACCAGGTAATTAAATTTATACAGATATACACTTTTACAGATGAAATAAACGGAATTTTTCACTTGCATGCATGTAATTATTTCTATATATCAATCTTTGGTTTTTTGAAAAAAAAATTAAATTTTCTTTTTGTTTTTACAGGCACAGATGGACAGGAAGGTTTGAAGCACACCTGTGGGATAAGAATACATGGAACAGCATTCAGAACAAGAAAGGAAAACAAAGTTAGGATCTTTAATATCTTTTCTTTGCTTTTTAATTAATAAACAATTCAACAATTCAAGTGAAATCAAGAGATCGGTGATCTTTGTTCAATAATCAAAAATCTTAGTTTAATTATTAATTATATCTATACAGTAATTAATTATGTCATTGCCTCTGAATTCATGTTTTCTGACTGTATGTGTTGTGTTCTTGATGATGATGATCTCTGTCCACGCATTTGTCGCTGCACAGTCTATTTGGGTGAGTTCAAAAGCTGCTTATAATTAATTTTCTGTTCTACTTTTGATTTTGGGCAATTTTTTATTACTTTAGTCAAGAAAATTTAATCAAGTATACTAATTACTGTTTAATTGTTGATGTTATTTTAATATAGGTGCATATGACAATGAGGAATCTGCGGCTCGAACCTATGATCTAGCTGCCCTCAAGTATTGGGGGCCCGATACTCCGCTAAATTTTCCGGTGATCGACTTGATTTGTTTTTTGTTGTCGACCTTTTCATTTGAACTGACATTTGGCATTCGTTCATTCGTGCATTGTGTTTGAATGCACGAACGCGAATTTAGTATGTTCTTAGTGTTACACGTGCCTGTAAAAGATCGTTACACGTGCATTAATGGTGCATTTAACGTTTTTAACTAACATTCGATGACAATGCAGCTTGAGATGTATTCGACAGAGATTGAGGAAATGCAAAAATCGACAAAGGAAGAATACTTAGCATCGATTCGACGACAAAGTAGTGGATTTTCGAGAGGTGTCTCTAAGTACCGTGGCGTGGCAAGGTAACAAAATGTTTCATTTGAATTTTGTATTCAAACACAATTAGATTCTTAGTATATTTTGTGATTTTTTTCATGCTTTGCACGCAAAACGTGTTGAGTGGGACCCAATTCTATGTTCATTCTTTTCGTGGGTTTGTGGATTTTTTTTATTTTTTGGTGTGCTGAGGGTGGAAAAATGTGACACTTTTCTTGAATGAACTAATTCTACCAAAAAACAAAGAGTGCAGACCATTTTTCATTTTTTAACTTTTGAAAAAGAATAGTTAGACCATTATTTGTTGGAATTTAACAGGCACCACCGTAATGGTCGATGGGAGGCTCGAATTGGACGTGTTTCTGGAAATAAATATCTCTACTTGGGAACCTTCAGTAAGTTGATAATGGTTATATGAATGTAAAAAGTGCGGATATGTGATTGGTGTGTTCTTAAGATGGCATTCATTTATTGTTCTAACTGAAGTAGACAATTAAACTCTCACCGTCCTAAAAGCTGTGGGACCCATGAAAGATGTGATTGATATTGATTGTTTGACTTTGACTTAGATTAAAATATGATTTTAATCAGAAACAAACAAGGCCTTAATTATTTGTGTGGATATTTTAAATATTTGCAAATGTATTTGTAAAACAAGTGACTTTTTTTTTTGAAAAAAATAATATTTATTTATTTATTGTTGACACATGAAAATATGTTACGAAAAATAAATTTGAGGGGCGGTTTACGTAATTTTTGAAAATACAAAAGGTGTCTTTGTAATTTTCAATTGGATTGGGATGAAACAGAGATCTCGACTTAGACAATCTCTGAGGACCGTACAAAAGGATACTTTTTCTTTATAAAATTGAAACATTCCGCTTTGAGGGTCTGCACTCTCTTATTCTGTATCTCACTTTGTTATTTGGGTGTGAAGTGACCAAATCCAATCCCCAAAAGAGCTAAATAAAAATCATGGACCCCATCTGGCTCGGCTGGAAAACAAGGGACAAAGGGTCCTCATAGCTCGGGCTCGTAGACTTCTTCTATTTTTCCTAAGGTCTCGGGACTTGTTCCGACTCAACTCACTTTACACTTCTGGGATCGGAAATTAGTAACAATAGTAGGAGAAATGACTAAGTCTTATATTGCTTAAGATATACTTTAAACTTAGGGATGACAATGGGTCGAGCTGGCGTATGTCCACGAGCTCGACTCGTGCTCATCACGAAGCTCGGCTCGTTACTCACTGGTCGAGCTCGGTTATGCCCGTGAGCTCGTGGTTTGTGGGTCGGCTCGCGAGCTCGTTAAATTTTTTTATTTTTAATTTTTTAAGATATTCATTTTTTCTGAAAAAAATAAAAAAATAACCCTTCACAAAGCCGAGCGGGCCGAGCCCAAGCACGAGCCACGACCGGCCTGCTCGGCTCGTGCTCGGGCTCGTCTTTTGACAAGTCCGAGAGGCTCGTTTTAGCTGGCGTATGTCCACGAGCTCGACTCGTGCTCATCACGAAGCTCGGCTCGTTACTCACTGGTCGAGCTCGGTTNCTATTACCAATATACTTACATTTTTTGTGCGGATATGTGATTGGTGTGTTCTTAAGATGGCATTCATTTATTGTTCTAACTGAAGTAGACAATTAAACTCTCACCATCCTAAAAGTTGTGGGATCCATGAAAGATGTGGTTGATATTGATTGTTTGACTTTGACTTAGATTAAAATCTGATTTTAATCAGAAACAAACAATGCCTTAATTATTTGTGTGGATATTTTAAATATTTGCAAATGTATTTGTAAAACAAGTGACTTTTTTTTTTTGAAAAAAATAATATTTATTTATTTATTGTTGACACATGAAAATATGTTACGAAAAATAAATTTGAGGGGCGGTTTACGTAATTTTTGAAAATACAAAGGTGTCTTTGTAATTTTCAATTGGATTGGGATGAAACTGAGATCTCGACTTAGACAATCTCTGAGGACCGTACAAAAGGATAGTTTTTCTTTATAAAATTGAAACATTCCGCTTTGAGGGTCTGCACTCTCTTATTCTGTATCTCACTTTGTTATTTGGGTGTGAAGTGACCAAATCCAATCCCCTAAAGAGCTAAGTAAAAATCATGGACCCCATCTGGCTCGGCTGGAAAGCAAGGGACAAAGGGTCCTCATAGCTCAGGCTCGTAGACTTCTTCTATTTTTCCTAAGGTCTCGGGACTTGTTCCGACTCAACTCACTTTACACTTCTGGAATCGGAAATTAGTAACAATAGTAGGAGAAATGACTAAGTCTTATATTGCTTATGATATGCTTTAAACTTAGGGATGACAATGGGTCGAGCTGGCGTATGCCCACGAGCTCGACTCTTGCTCATCACGAAGCTCGGCTCGTTACTCACTGGTCGAGCTCGGTTCTGCCCGTGAGTTCGTGGTTTGTGGGTCGGCTGCGAGCTCGTTAGATTTTTTTATTTTTAATTTTTTAAGATATTCATTTTTTCAGAAAAAAATAAAAAAATAACCCTTCACAAAGCCGAGCGGGCCGAGCCCACGACCGGCCTGCTCGGCTCGTGCTCGGGCTCGTCTTTTGACAAGTCCGAGAGGCTCGTTTTTGACGAGCCGAGTCAACGAGCCGCTTGGCTCGATTGCCACCGCTATTTAAACTAACGAGCCGAGTCGACGAGCCGCTTGACTCGATTGCCACCGCTATTTAAACTTGATTAGATTAAAATATTATGCAGATTTCATCTTAATTAATTTATATTTCATTCAATGTCTAGGTTTGTGATGTTGTCAGATACTTAGTTCACTCTACAAATTTTTTTATCAGATTTTTCAGTTTAGTCTAGGATTTATTGTGTTGTCTAAATCCACGTGCGAGGTACTAAAAGACCTAAAGAAGCCTATTGACTTCAAAATTTGTCTGATCGAGTGATCAACTGAATCCTGACCACCTTCCCGTTCACAAGATAAAATAAATGCAATGGAGATGGGTGAGAGATATTAAGAGGGGGAAATAGGTCAAGATATTGAACCAGGCCAAAATACAAGAATAGGTTGTTTAATTTGAACCGACACAATCCCATTGACGACTAACGTGGGACCCTTTCTCCACATGCATGTCCCGTAATTTATAGATAAAAAACCTTTTGAACCACTTCTAGATTGCTTTACAATAGAGGGCAAAGTAAATAGAGTTCGTAGTGCAATTTATATTCTCGGATGTATACAGTGAATTTTTAATTACATGGTTTGTAATTGTTTTGGTTCTTTCTCAAAGGCACACAAGAGGAAGCTGCGGCAGCATATGATATGGCAGCAATAGAATTCAGGGGGCCTAATGCAGTAACCAACTTCGACATTAGCAAATACACAGACAAGTTGAAAAAATTCACACCGGAGGTTGAAGTAAATCAGGAAGATGTCCAAGTAACGAATCAAGAAACTTCGGAGCTCGAGTTCCAAGTAACGGATCAAGAAACTTCGGAGCTCGCCCCCCAAACGCAAGGAGACGAAACAACTGATCATCAATACCATCAACAAGAGGAATACAATCAAATGGTTCAACCAAGTCTCTCAAACGTAGAGTTGATTGATTCCGTTGACTCTGATGTAATGGCGATTATGGACCCCACCGGGGATATCGAGTACCCTTGGGACGACATGTGCTTAGACTTAGACCTCAATTCGCTTCAAATTCCCAACATTCCTCTCGAAAAACCCGACGAGCTGTGGGGATTGTTTGATGACGAAGGCTTCGAGGATGACATTGGTTCCATTTTTGACTACTCTTTCGATGAAAACGATTTTCTCCAGGATACAATGTCCGGAACTAGTGCTGGAAGTAAGGGCGTCGAGGCAGATATTTTGGCAGGTCGAGGCGAGAAGGAGCGTGATGCATCAATAACTTCTTCTTCTTCACCACCACCATCAACAACATCAGTTGGTAGCAACATAGAGTAGTATTGGAAGAATTTTCTAAAATTCAGCTCAGGAAACTATTGTAGATTAGCAGGAAACATGGATTAATCATGTGGTGGCACAAACTTTAAGGTTTTATCCTTATGAATAGGACATGTTTTTGGTTTTACCAATATATGATTGGCTCATAGTTATTATGTGAAGAATCTAGGTTCATGTTTTTAGTATTCTGGTTTTATTCTTCTTTTTTATATTTTTATTTATATTATTGCTTAGTCTTTTGACTTTTGATAAAAAAAATTTTTTTAATTTTTTCGTAATTGATTGTGATAATGAATTGAATTTTCCAATCTTTTACCTCATTAGTCACTGTACCCAACTCTAGGGGTGAACAAAATGACTAAATCAAACCAGATCAAACAAGAATCGAACCTAACTGAGCGGTTCGATTCGATCTTACAAAAAAAAATATATTGTTTTAATGATTTCGGTTCTTAGAATTGAGAACCAGAACCAAGAATTGAAGTCAATTTTTATTATTTTACACACACACACACATCAATGAATTATACTAAAAAATTCGACTTTTAGTTTGGACTTTTGTGAATGGAATTTATTACATGATATTTCATTTGATGATGATAATTTGAATTTGCTGAATGTTTGATGTTTATTTTTCATTTAGGTATATATATTATTAAGTTATGGATATATTGATAGATTTTAATTTATATTTATCATTTAAAAATTAAAGTAATGAAATCAGAACCAAATGTTTCGATTATTTTGAAATCAAATTGAACCATGTCCACCCGTACCCAACTCCGTCTTTGACAACTAAAGGAATTAGGCAGACGAAACTTGATTTTAAGGATTTTATATCTCAAAATCTTATTGTAATTTTTAATTCAATAAGAGACGAAGGTGTTTGTCATGTAATGTTAGTTTACAAAGACAGAGCCCAATATAGTGACAAATACGATAAGAAAATTAGATTTTTTTAAGAATAGATTTTTTGAAAATTAATTAATTTTTTAAAAATGTATGATTAAATAGAAGAAAAAAGGTTGTGAGTTTACGCATAAAAATATTTTATTGAAAAATATGTGATTATAAATGAATTTGAAAAAAATGAGAATGTGTACCAAACACTGGCCAAGTCTTGACCAAAATATCGCACATTCATAAATTCAATTTAAACCCTCTATCAATCTATTGTATTTCTAGGCTCGAGAATCAAGATTAGAAAGTTCATATTTTATAATTAAAAAAAAAAGGAAAATGGATTCTAAGTTTCTCCAATTGTTTCTTGTTTTGTTTGACTCGAGTCTCGACTTTGTTGGTCAGTTTCTCACTAAAGGGGTCGTGCTTGTACAACTCTTCACCGACGACTGAGGATCTTAATACATAATAGTGTAATCGTAATGTGTTTAGGAGAAATAATGTCCAAAGTCTCGATAAATAGCTTATACTAAACACTGATCACATGACACATCAATTATCACCACTAGGCACCAATACTTAAGAGATCATTTCTCGTGTTCTATATATATATATATATATATATATAGCCCCTGTTTGGTCTGGTGAATGCAGGGTGGTATGTTAAACATGGCTACAATGAAACTCATGAGATGTATTTCTAGGCTCGAGAATCAAGATTAGAAAGTTCATATTTTATAATTAAAAAAAAAAAAAAACGAAAATGGATTCTAAGTTTCTCCAATTGTTTCTTGTTTTGTTTGACTCGAGTCTCGACTTTGTTGGTCAGTTTCTCACTAAAGGGGTCGTGCTTGTACAACTCTTCACCGACGACCGAGGATCTTAATACATAATAGTGTAATCGTAATGTGTTCAGGAGAAATAATGTCCAAAGTCTCGATAAATAGCTTATACTAAACACTGATCACATGACACATCAATTATCACCACTAGGCACCAATACTTAAGAGATCATTTCTCTTGTGTTCTATATATATATATAGCCCCTGTTTGGTCTGGTGAATGCAGGGTGGTATGTTAAACATGGCTACAATGAAACTCATGAGGCTAATTTGGGCGAAGAGAGGAGAGTACTACATCTTGAAGGGAGCTATCCCTTTTCATTGCAGCCTTAAACTCTTCAAAGGTAACTTTTCCATCGCTGTTGGCATCCATTAGGTCAAATATTTCGTCTAATTTTCCGGGTTCTGTGATGTCCACTGGAAGGTAATCATCAGGCAATGCCTGCACATTTTTTTTTAAAAAATATGATCATAAATAATGTGCAGTTGAGAAATGTAAAGATAAGAAAGATCCTCATTTACCCTTAGCATAGATGCTACTTCTTCCTTGCTGATGCATCCAGACCGGTCAGTATCATACATCTGAATATTCAAGAACGCAATCTGGTTAAGTTTTATATGCTCGTGGTTATGGTTGAGAGGAAAATCTCGATTGTGATTAATGAACAAGAAGCTATTTTGCTGTACTAATAAGTATAGCCAGCTTTAATTAAATTCAGTATTGTGGGTGTCAATGCGCTTGCTAATAAGTCTAACCTTCTTTGACTAATTTCAGTATTGTGAGCGTGTACTAATGTGTGTAACCACCTTTGATTCACTTCTATATTGTGCGTGTTCAGTGCGTGTACTAATGAGTGTAACCATCTTTGATTGTAACTGGAGATACAGCACCTGGAAGCATAGACGGAGCGCATCATCTCCCTGTGAGTATTTGAGACTCGAAAAGCCCCCAATAATTTCCCTCATGTCAACAGTGCCGTCCCGGTTATTGTCAAACAGGTCGAAGATACGTGGGGCTAGAGGAACTAGTGATGACATTTCCATTGCTTTGAGCACCTCTTCGAATTCAGATAATGTGGCATTATCACCATTTTTACATCTGCACTTTGCCAAACGAAAATCAGAGAACATACTTTGAATAAAAAGTAACTCTTTAAGAACAACTAAACACGTTCATATTTAACCTATATGATATCAAAAGATTAGGAGAATATGCATTGATTGCTTACATTTTCTTGAAATTTACGCTGAGATTCTCAAGTTCCTCTGGCTTAAGATCATAGGATCCTACCAAATTCTTTAGTTTTTTTGTTCTCAAAGAAAAGCTGCTGCTCAACACACTGGCCATTGCAGCAGCACGAAACTTACGCCTCGCGTTAAAACTCTGCAATCTTGAAACTATCTCAGCGTCCATCTGATCTTGCTTTGCTAAATCCCCGGTCACCCATGGATGCTGAAGAATCTATAAGAATTCAAAAAAGAACCGTGATCATCCCAGTTCTCAATGGTAAAACAGCTTATTATTGAAAAACTAGAACTAGAAAGTGATTTTTTTTAATTTCCATTTCACGATCATTTTAGGTTAACTCAGGTGAATATAATGACTGAACTTGATTGAGTGCAGTTATGACACCTCTTCAGCGCTCGGTCGCATGTCTGGATCGACTTTTAGAAGACTACTAATAAGATGTCGTACAGAGGATGAAATGTTTTTCCATGTTTTCTCATAAAAGCTGAATTGTCCCTGCATTAAAGAATTTTCTACTGGCATTAGATCTACACATATAAAGCTTAACTGGAATGAAGACAGAACTGTATTTAAGGGCATGTTTGGTACACTCGACTGGACAAAACTGAACAGAACAACTTCTGTTCCGTACTAGACGTCCTATATGGAGGTTTTCAGCTGCAAGAACATACGTTTAGTATCATTTGCTGCTTTTGCTGGGTCGACTGTGCAATGAAAGGTGGATATCTGAAACATAAGATAAGCAATGTAAAATCCAATTTCTTTTAAATTAAATTGTTGCGATGGCATTGTGTGGGTGGGGGGGTGTAAAAACACATACTTACCCGGAGAGGAGAATATATAGAATTACACCAAGTGACCAGATATCAGTTTTGTGAGTGATTTTGGCGCGAGAAAGCGCCTCAGGTGAAACATAATCAATCGAACCAAACAATCCCACTACCGGATCAGTAAAATCCTCCACAGAACTCAATCCAAAATCCATGATTTTCAGTGGAGAATTCTCATCTTTGTTCAAAAACAAACAATTCTCAGGCTTTAAATCTCGATGAACAATATTCGCCCGGTGAAGAGCCGCCAGCCCCTTTGCGATTTGCCTAACCACTGCCGCCGCACCAGCTTCATTATACCTTGCCTGAGCCACAATCCTGTCAAATAGTTCACCCCCAGAACAAAGCTCCAGAATCAAATGAACCCCCCCACTGTCTTCACAAACATCATGAAGATGAATTACATTCGGATGTGGAGAAACATCTTCAACAATTTTTCTCATCACCAAAAGTTCATTTGTCAACAGAGCATCAGAAATCAAAGCCTGGTTTGAATTTTTCGAATTTCTGGATCCGGGAGAAGGCATAAATGGGCTAAATCTTCTCAAAGTTTTAATCGCAACACTTGTATTTCCTTCACTGCATTTTTTAACCCCTTTTCGTACAACTGAAAATCCTCCCCTGCCCAGAACATCAGTCACTTCATATTCATCGCTAAATGATTTTCTCGTATCCTGACCCATGAAAATCAAGATGAAAATTGTTAGTCTTTCAACAATGAGAAAGAAGATGGTTCCAATTATAAGAAAGAGAAAGTAATTAAGGGTTTATATTATTGTGAAATTAGGTGGTAATACACGGATTTGCATCACCTAATCAAGCCATTTTTGATTAGTTTATTGCCATATGACGTGCAAATGGCAAGAGATATATATAAATACACACAAACGGAAAGAGCTAAGGAAGAAGAGACAAAATGGCCAAGTCAATCATAGCCTTTGTTTGATCCCATTTTTCCAAAATAATCCCACCCTCTAAGTTCAACGAGCTGTTGAATAAAGTAGAAGAAGGGACACAGAGTAGGAAGGGAAGAAGTTGGATATGGTGAGAAAAGGGTAATTAGGAAGGAGAAAATTATTTTTAATAAAACTATATTAGAAATCATTTGAAGGAATACATTTATTTATTTTTCTCATTTAAAAAAAAAAAAAAACATATATGACTTCTTAAACACGCTCATGAGCTCTAGCGATGAACCATTTTAGTTAAAATCAGAAGTAGTTATGGATCTATTTGAGCTCCATTTTTGGCATAGTTTATATTTTGAAATAGTAGATTGATGGAGAATGCGTGGTTAAAAAATAAGAAAACATTTTGAATTTGCGTCTGATATTATTTTATTGAAAAAATGTGTAGTTGAAAAGACGAGAGAAAAAAATCAGTCATGCTATAAGTATAGGGTTTTTTCACAGATTTTGTACCCAAAAACAACTGTCTTCCTGTACAAAATTTGTGAAGAAAATCATGTACTTGAAGAATTATTCGAGAAAAATATTTGGAAAGGTGAAAGAAGCAATGGAGGAAAATGAGAGATGCGACGGGAGAATGAAGAAGATAAAAATAGAAGTATACTTGTTATAGTTTAATATCAATATCACGTCTTGATTATTTATATTTATGTATTAAAAAAATTATATGCTTCAAATGATTTAGGCCCTGTTTGGGAGGGATTTAGATTTTTCTACAGGAAATCAATTCTCATTTTCAACTACACATTCTTCAATAAAATAATATTTTCCATCACATCAATAATTTTTTCTTCTTTTTCAACCACACATTTTCTATTATATCACTATTCAAAATCAATTCTTCTCCCAAAAATCCCTCCCAAACAAGCTCTTAGTCTTACATCAATATATCCATATATTTCTCATTTCTTAATCGATTTTTGCTTGGACTTTTAAAAAAAAATCATATTATATCCAAGCCTACTAATTTATTATGAATGCATTTTATATAGGAAAATACTACTTGTACATCAAGATATGTACATCATGGTCTACACCTCCCTCACATGGAGTGTGGAACCCACTGAAATAATATTTTTTTATTTGAGTAGACCCCACCCCCCATGTGAGAGGGGTGTACACCGTGATGTATACCGTGATGTACCTGTAGCAAAATCGTTTTATATATCAAGGCCGAATGCTTATAGTTAAGAAAGCAGAAGACACCAGAAAATAGATAAATAAATATATTTACACCACAATTTTGAAAACCACAACCCCGTTTGATTCTTATTATTCTAGAATGAAAATGAAAAATATAGTCGTTATTGAGCCCCACACAAGAAATAAAAAATAAAAATTGATGGCTTGATGTGATGGATAACGGTCATATTTTTCATTTTTATAGATGAAAAATGAGAATCAGACGGGCCTGTAACATCACATTTCAATTACAACAAAAGTTCTTAATCTTTTCTCATTTTTGCACTAACATTTCCAATTTGTTTTTGTCGAATTCTTATCATCAACATTTTATAATTTGCACATTTTGCCTCCGATGATGATTTTTATCCGAAAGTTTGCTATAATGGCTTAAAAAGACTTATTTGTCTTCATATTTTTAATTGCCGAAATAAATAACTAATATAAAGTTTGACTAAATATTTTCCCCCGTTTCAATGTGCCTTAACAGAATATTTGGAAAAAGGTTGATATCAGACGACGTGTGTTAATTAATTTAAGGATAAGAACAAAAATGCGATAAAAAGTTGATGACATAAAAATAGAAGTGAGCAAAATTTGGGGACTTTTCTTGCAATAAAAATATGATGATGATAATACAAGCATATTAATTTCACCATGGCCACCAAACTTTATTTTGTTTCATCAAAACCACCAAATTTTCCACTGAACTTAATTTTTGTTCCACCGTGGGATCGAACTTTATAAGGTAAATAGCACTAGGGTCCTAACCTTTGAATATTTTGATGATAGGGTCCCAAACCTTTGATTTTTAGCATTCGGAGATACAGAATCTTTCAAATGTTTGCACATGAGGTTCTTTAGTATGAAAAAAAGGTCAATTCGACAATTAAAAGGTCAATTTTTGAGTAAAATGAGAGCTGTACCTTTAATTTGATTTAAAATGTCTAGCGGATGGAGGTAGGTCGATTTGATTTGGATTGGCCTTAGTTTTTATTTTGTATTTTTTTACTTTTTAATTTTATTCAAATTATTTATATTCTTCTATTTTTATATCAAAGACATTTAATTTAAAATTTGACCATTTAACGATCAAACTGATATTTTTATTACAAAAGGATCGTAAGCACTAATTGAAAGTTTTGAGACTCCGAGTGATAGTAATCAAATGTTGGGGACCTAATAGTTAGAAGGTTAAAGGATTAGGGGGACCCTAGTAGTATTTATCCTAATTATATAAGAAGCAAATTAAAGTTTGGTGCCCATGATGATACTGAGAGAAAGTTCGATGGCCATGGTGAAGTAATTTTGAGTTCAATGGTGAAACTAATTAAAGATAGATAACCGTGGTAACACTAAGGGTGCATTTAATTGCAAGCATGAAATTTGTATACAAAGAAAATAAATTATATGGATTCAATTGTCCATAATTTATTTATATCAAAATTATTAATTAAATGTGTTTGATTGATTTTGTTTTTAACTTATACTTATCTATTTTTTATTGGTGAATAAACGAGAGTGAGGGAATAGATGGGAGGGGGAGAGAGAGAAATATTTGAAAAATAAAAATTACTACCTCCTAAATAAATATTTTCCTTGTCAAGTGACCAAGAGTTGGAAAATATTTTTCATAGAATAATTGCCAGTCAAACACCTTAAAATATGAATTTGAATGGAAAAATGACATTTTTCATGAAAAATAAAGCAAATCAAACAACTCTAAGTGAAAAGTTCGATAACCATGGTGAAACAAATTAAAATTCTCCAGTTATGATGACATTAAGTGGAAAGTACGATGGCCATGGATGAATTTGCCCTAGTCAAAATTGTTGCGTGAATGCAATTACCCAATTTGTTACTTAAAAGTTATCTTATGCTTAGTAATATTAAAAAATAAATAAATTTTTATTTTATTAACGGACTCCGTCCGTTAGAAGTAGCCTCTCGAGAGTTGGAACACAAGACAAAAAGGGGAGGCTGCTTCTATTATATCTCTTGATTTTACTCGATCGATTTCTTGGAGTCAAATTTTAATCAGTTCCAAAATAGAAAAATCTAATCAGTTCCAAGCTTTTTCGAATTTTAATTTTTTTTATGTATTTTGATAAATAATTACGCACATATAAACTTCCAATATTTGATTGTATCCCAATCTTGTTTGCTTGTATCTAGGTACGGATATAGGGGGTACGTCGGTCCAATCCTCAACCTTGTTTGAGCCCAATTTTTGTCAAAAAAATGAATTTTTGAATAGTGTACTGATGAGAAATGTGTGGTTAAAAAATAAGGAAAAATGTTGGGTTTGCGTGTAATATTATTTTATTAAAGAATGTGTAGTTGAAAAATGATATCAAAACACTATTCAAAAAATATTTTTTTTTTCAAAAAATGTGGTTCAAACAAGGGCTTCTTGGTGTAATTTTTTTAACATATTAGCTCGACTTGTAGTCCGATCCTGGATCCATTCATGAACTTATATCTAAACTCATTAAATTTGCATATGCAAGATCGACCTGCACACGTTTTTTTTTTAAAAAACATTTTTAGGTTTTTTTCAATAAACTATTTATCTAAATGGCTAGTCCAAAACTACTAAAAGCAAATGAAAAATAGATTATATTTATTTTAAAGAAATAAATGAAAACTAAACATATTCTCGTTTGTAGACTTGAAGTTGTATTGAATATTCCTTTTTTTTTTTTTTTTTTCTGACAAGTTGTATATCAAAACCCTAAACATACCTTTTTCAAAGCATATTCCTTTTTTTTTTTTCACCTAAACACAAAGAAAAAAATTATTGCGTTTTTTAAAAGTTGGTCAACCCTCAATTTTTGGGTATGTAATGCTAAATGAGAGGATATGAATTATATATTTCAACAAATTTATGTTACATAGTTTAGTAGTACGATATAAAATTGACAATGACACGATTTTACTTATTTTCATGAAAATACAAATTATCATACAAGAGATTTTACAAATTACGCCGTGGACATAGGATCTTATGAGGTTTTTATTCCGGGTCTAAATTTTGTTGGGTTCTTTTTGGAATTAAAACATAGTAAAATGTCTAGGACATGCATTGTTTTATTGGTTTTTACTCTTTATTCGTTGAATACATTTTTGCGATCCATTTATAGCATTTTGGTAGGTTATATTTTGTGAGTATTTTCCAAATCGTTGCATGAAAAATGTGATCAATAAGTTATCGAAAATGAAAATTTGGATTGAAATAAACTGTTCGCTTTTTGTCACACGTCCTTAATCATAATTTTTTTTTAACAATCTCTTTGGAAATGATTGGTTATGCGCTCATTTATTTTGAACATGTCTTCCACTTGCTACCAAACCTGGAAGGACAAAATCTTAACGCGATATCAAGCTTCTTAGAACTAGAAGACCTACATTTGCTCGAGAAAAAAAAAAGAGGGCTAAAAGGAACTTGAATACTAAAATGGCTACATCAGAACAGATTCTGCTTCTAGGCAATCGAAAGTAATGGGTGCCATTTCTCAAACCAAAGACAAAAAAGCCAACCTTAAATAACAGGATACATGAAAACACCCCTATGAGTATGAGCTCATTCACTTACAGAATAAAAAGAAGAAACCAATTAATACCATGCATTAAACTCAAATATGTAAAATATCATTTCCCGAATTGTGGTATATGAAGTGGACAGAAAAAGACAACAAATAGTTGGAACTAAGGCAATTTTTACAATATCTTTACCATTACAAAGCATTACAAGACTAGAGTACAGACAAGTTCAGAAATATAGTAAGCATTCAGATACAGTACAGTTCAATATCTACAGGGCAGTTCAAGTATAAAGCTTAACCTAATTATTAGTGGTGCAAACATTCAGGTGAAAATCATCCCGGATTCAGAGGTACCACAACAATGCATCATGCCTAGGTAGTGGATCCATGGAGTAGTCGATTGGTGTCAAGTTGAAAGGTGAATCAAACCTGAAGTCAGATATATTCTCGTTTGTGTTGCCACTGGATGTGGAATTGTACGAGGGCTTGCACTGATTGAGCTGGAATTCTGTTGATGGGAACACGGAATTACTAGAGGCCATACTTGTTTCTGGAAACACGTTGCCCCCTGACGCAACTCCCTGTCTGATGAAATAATCGCCTTGTTGAAGTTGTGTCGTTTGCTGCTGCGAGCTTTGAGTTTCTAGAAAGTTGAGATCCCCAGAGTTGAAGCTACTGTTTTGCTGAAGATTGTTATCGTAGAATGACAGAAGCTCAGAAATCATCATTTGGCCGTCTTCAGGAATTCCAAGGTCAGAAACATCCACACTTGCTGGAGCATCGTTCAAGGGCAGAGAAAATGACTCGTTTTGGGCAGAAGGGCCAGAGAAAACTGCTGGCTTGTCATTGTCAATTTGATATCTTGGTTTGTTAAGCCTTTCAGACGAACTGAAACGGTATGGGCAATTCATTTGGTGATTGTTTCTCCATGTCCGGTCATTGAATCCCATATGATAATCACTGTGGGGGCATTGAGGAAACTCACATGTAAACATCTTCTGATCCATGTGCACCTCATTAGTTATCTGTTTCCTCTTTGGAATAAAATCTGAATCGACGTCAATAATCTCTCCCTTGATTGGAGCTAAGAGAGGCATCATGTGCCTTTCACTAGTTGCAGCTGTCCCCAAGTTGAAAAACTTCGTATCACGGGGCTTACATTCCACTTCAATGTTGCCATCATCTTCTGCTCCTTCAACATTGTAGTCACTGGTATCACTGACTGAATACGATCCACTCTCACCAGCCAAGGATGCTGGTGGAATGCTATTGGGATATAGCTTTCGGTATAAAGCCTCCTCTTGATTTATAATAGCAAGCCAAGTTGCACTTTCCTTAGCTGTCATCTTATCCTGTAGGCATTTTGACTGCCGGACGAGTTTGAGGATCATGGCAATGTTAGGGGACATGTGTTTGATCACGGATGTGAGAACACTAACTTTCCAGGCCTTTTTCAAATCATGCGGCTTCTTATACGGAGGTGGCCCTTGATCAGTTGGCAAACCCAATTGAGAGCACCATTCTTCCTTTCCGGTAGGCCACCAAGGTGGGGGAACACCCTTCTCCAGAGGGAACCGCCTCTGAGGTGGATCGCAGTGCTGCATCAGAGCAGACAAAAGTGAGCCAAGCGTTGTATCCTGGAGCTCTTGAAGCGTATGAGTAGAGGCTGCAATACTTGCTTCCTCAACTTTTCCCGGGATCGAATTCTCTGCCTGGTATTTGGCAATTGCAGCTGGACCATTTCGATCAAACCTAACTTTTTCCTTCCACCATATGCGAAGATTATCTGATGCTCCTGTCACAGGTTTGCCCTTCTCGGGGATGATCCCGTACACAAAACCCTGAGCTTTACAAACCTCCATCATCTTCAGCATGTATTTCAAGATTCCATCTTGTGCACGAGACATTTTCTTCCGTCGCGCTTGCTCCTGAGACCGACGCTGCTTTGCACTATCATCGATGGACTCCTTGTTCTTCTTCTGCTCCTTAAGCCGTCTCAAGAGCATTCGGTCCCTCCACATCCTTCGCTCTAGTTCATCGACATCCATCTCCTCATCACTACAATCTTCCTCCACTGGCACCACCGGTTCAACTTCCAAAGCTACATCCGCTTCTCCCGGAAGAATAGAGAGGAAATCAAGATTACCGCAAAAACCCATTTCTTCAAAAATGCTCATTTAGCAGACGAATAGATTTCCAGAAAACGAATCAATCACAAGCTGACTTATCTTCTCCCTCTCCTTAAAAGGGCAATATCTATTTGTCCACAGATATTACTATCCCAACTTTAGGATTTGTCAATCACAAACAAATCAAGACAAAGCCTTCAAAATCTGATTTTTTCCCAGACAGAGAAAAGAAAAGGATAAATTAATCAAAAAGATTGCATGGATCAGAAAATTCAAAAAAATTCCGTCTCCACAATTGTAATCTGTAAAAGCTACTTAATCTACACCTTGAATTCCCGTGATCCTGATTTAATGTTTTAACAAATTTTTTTTTATTAAATTAAGTTAAAAAATTTAAATCTAAAATCCAACTATGATCTCTAAGAGCTAGATTACAATCTTCCCATGTCACTGATCTACAAAATTTTACAGCTTCATTAAACATATAAATACAGAGATAAACTCTCAAACACACAAGTACTGACAATCAAACAAAAACCCACAAAAGTTATTCTCTTTCTTCATCAAAACAATTGAGATTTGAACAATATAATTCAAACAAAAAAAATCAAAATTAAAAACTTTCAATCACAAGAAAAATAATCGAGAAATCAACTTACCAGCCCTTTACTTTCCTCTCCTTGTTTGTAGCTGAGCTGTGTTCAACGAGTAAAGTCAGATAGGAAGAGAGGATAAGAAGAAAGAAAGAGGGATGGGGGAGAGCGAATGTGGATGTGCACAATGGGACTTTCATGGGTTACTGCCTTTTTGTGAAAGAAGGGAAGAGAAGAGAAGCTGCCAAGAAATGGGTAACCAGACTATACCGTGGCTCGTGGCTCAAATTTAAAGCATGCAAAGGACAGAACTTTTAGAATATATTGTAATCACCCATATAGTTTTATTATTTTCAAGTAAAATAAAAAATGGCGATATGTTGCATTCCTTCTTGAGAGGATTGTCAGGCCGTCAGGGCGAAGGAGACAAAATTAAGGACATGTTCGGTAGAGAATAAAATTGAATTAAAATTGAAAAATTAGCTATTATTGTTAACTTTTATTAGACGAGTGAGATACCAAAACGACTATATTTTCAATTTTAATTGGATTTTAAGATTAACCAAACGTGCTCTAATAAGAAAAGTTGTGGTGGCATATTACGAGGTTACATAAATTTAATTCGAAATACAATTTTATCCCCTTATAACTAATATTTTATAAACGTGATATGTATAATAATTCTAAAAAAAAAAACTAATGTTACATTTTACGAGTGACATAACTCGATACTTTTGCAAGAGATCACCTGCTCGAAATTTAAAAATAACTAAGAAAATCTAATTGAGTAATTGATTCTTATAAAAATTCAACATGTTACGTAAATCTAATATTGATTTGACTCAATTCATGAAACATATTCCATTCTTCCAATGTATTAATTTTCCATATACTTTCCTTTTTGTTTTTCCCCTCAACAAATGAAAAAAAACGTGTGGAAATTTCTTGTCCAGCATAGTTTATATGTGATTGAGAGAATATAATAGAGACGTCGAATCCGATGATAAAAATCGATAGCGTCGATCAAATTTAACTTCGATTGATTGAATTCAAAGACATACATTAACAAAACAGTTCAATAAAATATTCAGCATGAAAAGAACTTTTTAAGACATGCAATAAAATAATATTAAAAAGAGAGAAAAAAACTCGTGTTTCCATATCGTCTCGGTGTCATTTGGAGAAGTTTAGTGATGAAAATTCAATCAACTTAAAATATAATGAACAGTTAAAAACGCTGAGTGACACTCCTTCGTGATTGAACATCTAACTACGACGAGACATCAAAATCCGATGATAATTCGTTAGAAACGTGGTATAAAAGTGATTTCAACGAGGAACGTCGGAGTTTTGTTATCAAAACTGGCATATTTAAAGTATAATGAATGGTTAACTAAGTTTAGTGATTAAATGGATAATTAACTTCTTTATTTCAGTTGAAAAGCTTTTCAGTTTCATACTAACGTGTTTCCATTTAACAAAACTTGCACTTTGTAATCAGTCACTTCGACGCGTCAGAGGTAAAACTTTACTATCTTCGTTTATTCTTTGATTCTGGGTAAGCTCTCGTCCCTTTCAGCAGTCATATTCCTTGCACACTTTCTTGAGGTATAATGCGTTTACCGCAGCATATTCCTTTTTTTCTTTTCGAAAATATGTATGAAAATGGAGATTTTGTTTACAGCCCATTGCTTTTTTAATGTGATCGGTGTTGATTTATTTTATTTTTTTAGTATTTAAGAAGTTTTCACACGAGATTTTGTTTATTAGTATTTTGAACAGAAATTTGCCCTTCTTTTGAGAGAAATAAGGACTAGATTTCATTAATATCAGCCTAAACAGCCTCGGAAAAGTGCAATACAGAATGTTTAGCTCGCAATCACATTTACTTCGCGACGAATAAAAGTGCAAAATATTGAAGGAAAAACTGCAGTAAATCAGAAATATTAAAGGAAAATTTATTTTGTTTTCGTCAATGCATCCTTGGATTTCGTACTAAGTGCTTGTTTAGCGAATGGCGAGTCATTTCTTGGACTTGCTAACGCAAAAGAAATGTTGATGAGTCAGGGGCCAAGGTTATGAATAGGGATGGACATGGTCCGGTTCTCAAGAGAATCGAACCCAACCATTTCTCATTAGGATTTCTAAAATAGAACCAATGGTTCTGTTTCTAGTGTAGATAACCAATCAGTTCGGGTCCGATCGGTTCTCTCTTTTTCCCAACTTGGTTCATGTTTCATGTTTGTTTATTTAGTTTAAATGGCAATTCTTGGAGAAAGAAACAATAGTGCCAAATTACAATGATCACATGGCCCATGGGTCTACAAAAATAAAATGAAAACGTTAATTCATAATAGCGGTACCTTAGTGCTTAAACTGCTAGTGTTAAACATCTAGTCTCAATATTCATACTGGACTAACACTTCAATTTGCTGGAAAAAGAAAAAAGAAAAAAGTTCACCTATTGAGTTGAAGAAAAAAGAATGGCGGAAGAGAGAAGAACCAAAAAAGCTTTTCATTCTGGGTTATGCTACGTGTACATAATTTTTTACCTAATCTTTTACACCCCACTCACATTTGGAAGTGGGGACCACGAGCCGCATTTTTTTAAAAACATGGGGCCCGCCGCATTTGTGGGTCGGTCACCCCCCTTGGGTACATCCGGATAAACCCTTTCATTCTTTAGTGAATATAGAGAACCAGATTGGAACCAACCAGTTCTTTATTTCATCGAACAACTGGTTCTGGTCCGGTTCGACCAGTTCCGAGAATTTTTGCCCACCCCTAGCTATAAACTTGTTGAAAACATCCGTGTAGCATGTATGTGGCCTAGAACATCCAACGGAATCGTAGCCCTACTTCAACATAAGGGTACTTGTGTGTATGTATGGTATGGAATCAAGATGATGTGAGACTATTGTTGTTAATACAATTTTTCCTTGTCTGAAGGTGAGAGGTGTGTCACAAGTGTAGTGCTCCAGCTATTTACTAGAATGTCACCATCGAAACCTATTAAAGTGAGCCAACCATTATGAGCAATAAGCCATGTGACACGAGTTAATTTCATGGTAAATCGAACGGTGTATACTAAAATGTTTTTGATCATGGAAAATAAAACGTTACTGAATGTTTACGGAACCACCCTGTATCGAGTTCTAAATAACCTAGAAGCCCGATAGTTGGTTTAACATGGAATTAATTGCAAGCTTTGATTGATGTGGATTAAGTTTTTTGAGCCTGAACTTCTTAGCTGTTCAATTGTTAGGAGAAGTTCAAATGTTGCCTAGTATGGTATCCCTAATGTGTTTGAATTGTCATTTATGCTAATGAACAAAGGTGTTGTACTCGTTAGTTTCCATAATTTCAGTTCCCTTTTGTTCCCGTTTCTTCACTCTAAAATTGGAAACATCATGAAAAGCCCGGATTTTATGAACTACAGGGTTGATGTTCATACCTGTGGAAAAGCAATGGTGAAATATCTTGGAGAAGCTTCTTACCCCGATGAACTCCCGGAGTTCTTCAAAGTTTATATGGCTGCTCTTTGGTCCGAAAGATTGGTATTCCCTTTCTCTTTGTTTAACTCACCATGGCCAATTTATATTTTTCAAAGTATCTGCCTGACAAAAAATCAATATGTTCTTCTATTTTAGAGAATTCCTCCGGCGTTCATCGAGAACTTTGGTGGAAAAATACCTCGAAAGGTCATGCTTGGAACGTCATCAAACCTCTTTTGGAAGGTTCGCATAAACAAAATCAACGATGATCTCTTTTTTGAGGAAGGTTGGCCAGAATTTGTGCAAGAAAATTCATTGGCACATGGCGAATTTCTAACCTTTTCTTATGCTGGTGACTCAAAGTTCTATGTTAAAATATTCGCAACAAATGGCTGTAGAAAGAGAGTTGCCCCTCATCGCATTAGCGAGAAGGAACCTTTCAATTTATGCCAAGGGAACGAGGCATCAAGACCTGGTAAATTCTTGCATAACTACCGGTTCGTTTTTTGTTGAACATATTTACCTTGGATTAGTTAAAATGTACAAAATTTTGCAGGCAAGTCTTACTCTATTGAAGCTCCCCAAGGAAATCTACGCGGAAAGGCTCTGGCTGTAAGAAAATCTGGAGGCAAATGTCCTTCTTTTGAAATGGTCATGACGAAGAGTTATATCCATAAAGGGGCTCTGGTAAGTTCATCAACCCATGATTTCTTATTGAGCACGTTGAAAAACTAAGACCCGGCATATTTTGAATCTGGTAACACGATTCACTATCTTATTCTCCCGTTTCTTGTTTACAAATGCAGAATATACCGTCACGCTTTGATATCTATTTTAAAAAAAGATATTCTGGTGAACGAACTGCTACTCTTCAGAATAAAAATAAGTCGTGGCGTGTGGTTGTTGCTACTTCAAGCAATAGAATCCGATTTGCTCAAGGCTGGACCAAATTTGTGAATGACAATTCTCTGGAAAATGGAAACATATGCAATTTCAAATTGATCGACAGGAATGATTTGGTCTTCAAAGTCACTATTTCTAGATGATTATATATCAGATAATTTATTTTGTAGCACGTGTACCTCAGTAATAGACTGGATTGAAACGTGTAATAAACAAGATTGTAGTATCGTTTTCCTTTTTAATATTGTCGTGTGTTATGTAATCCTTTGTACGTCGTGATTTCTATCACAAGAGTTCTTGTTATGAATCTTTTTAGTACGTTTTGAAATAGAGTTTATTCGTTGTATTGAGAATGGTAAAACTATTATACCATGGCAAATTTGTACAAAAGAAGAACATAGTGCCTCATGACTAAAGGATACACAATAGGGCATCAAGATTTGATTTTAAGAAAATTGGTTAATTTTACTAATGGCCACTGAACTTTGTATTTAGTGTCACTTTGGTCACTGTATTTTTAATTTTTTTTTTTTCAAACTCACTATCGAACTTTAAAGACTGTTATTCAAATTACTGACTTTGTTTGACATCTATTTTTTAACTAAACATTCTATGTGTCCTTGTACGCAAAAGCGCGACGGAACAGATGGAATCTTTTTAGTAAGTCCAACACTCAAAAGTGGGACAAAACATTTGTGAATTGAATATAGAGATCCGAAAGAAATGTGATTGGAGAACCTAGAGAGACCCAAGCCCCATTCTAGTACTAAATCATAACAAGATTACTACTTGGCCCTTGTTTGATGGCCATAAAGAGCAGAGGAAAATCGAAAATGATGTTTTGAATAGTGATTTTTTAGAGAATGTATGGCTAAGAAAGTATGAAAAAATTTTGGGTTTACGTGCAGAATATTTTATTGTATGAATGTGTGGTTGAAAATGAATATAAGAAAAAAAAAGAATTTTAATTTGAAAAGAGCCAAATACGAGCTTAGTTTGATAAGATTCCGCGAGTCCAAAAAACCCACGAAAGTTATTTAGAAAATGAAATGTATACAATTGAACGATGCTAGAGAAAAAACATAAGCTAACATTTTGTAAACTGTATTATACTCTTGCCCAATCATATATAGTAGTAGATCAAACATCAGGGATGGGGACCCGTCCCAATTAGCCGAGGGACAGGACGGGAATTTTGCCATTCGTAGTCCCAAGCGCAAGTTGAAACCATATTTTATAACAATAAACAAAATATAAAAATATTAATAAGTAAATAGTACAATAAATGAAAAGGTATTAATTCCCGTCTTGGCCTAGCCTTATAAAAATTCCCAGTGGGATGAATCATGCTACAGTGACATAACGATTGACATAATACAACTTAACGTTCTATCTTTGAACTTTTTAAAACACAATCACATTTCTTATCCAATCACAGAATGCCACATTGTCTTCTATCAAACAATTTGGCCAAATTCTTCTGTTAATGTGGCATTTTCCCTAGCGGGATAGGAAATTGGGATGACGTCTATCCTGCCTCATTGTCATCTCTATTTAAATTCAAAATATATTTTAATTTTCATCGCACAAACAAAGAACCAATATATTTTCATCTTTCATGGACAATTTGTTTTTTCATCTTGTGAAGTTCATCCAAAATTGTTCAAGCATAAAACTTCCCCCATCGACACGTGCAACTTTTGCTAGTTGTTTTGAGTTTTCTATGTGAACAACAAGTATTTCCGTATGCTATAACAACTTCAACGATGCCGATAAAAATTGCTACAATTCCCAAAAAAAAAAAAAAAAAATGTAGCATTGCTAATATAAATATATGGCGTAAAATACCAGTCCATGATATTCACAATCTTGAAGCTTTCAGCATTTTTTTTGGTTTGTAAATCCTCGAAATATTGAAAAGTAGCAGAAAAATAATACTCTAGCCTTCAACTTTCGCGTAGGTTTATGTAAAATTGCTTTCAATCTCCCATATACAAAGATTCCTACTTCAGTTCCAATAGTCTTCTCATATCACTGATCAAATTCTTATTTGGGTCAACCATACTCTTAGTCAATTTATTTAAGCAAGTCTGAAATGAAAAGATGGCTTAAAGGTGTAAAATGTACTATGCCTCGAAGCCATGTTATTTGTATAACCAAGCTCCCGTTTGATCCCCATTAAATTAAATTTCATTACATTAATTTTTTTCTCTCTTCATTTCAACAACACATTCATCAAATAAACACATAAATCTAAAACTTTTCAACCACACATTCTCTCATCAATCACTATTCTAAAAATTTTCAACCCTCAAAAATGGGGGCGAAATAGGGAGCAAATGATTGACATACAAGTTGACTGAACACATGCAATGGGGGAGGTCCACTTTTTTTTTTGAATTTTTTAATCACGCAGGGCCCACATGCATGTGAAAGAGGTTGTCAACCTCTATTGTACAAATGTAATTTCCCTTGTTCGTATCCCATGTTGAGAATGTTGTGTTAGATGGGATAGGATGACCAACTAACTATTCAAGGGAAAATTACATAAACGGTGCAAGGGATTTTACCATATCAAGAATGTTTCAAGGGTAATTTTAGGACTGTCAATGGATTGGATTTTGATCCGAATTCGACGAAATTAATGGGAGATGGATTTAGAGTCTCAATCCGATAACCCGATCAAGATCCGAATCCGATAATCCGTTAACTAAATGGATCAAATATGGATATAGGTCAATCCGATCCGATTTTTTATAAATAATTGAGTCGGTAAAATATTTTTATAGCATATTATTTGTTGCTGAAATAAATAAATATAGAATAAAAAGCAATCACATTCAAAACATAAAAAAAAATTGAAAAATTTATAATTATTAAACATGTTTAAGAATTGAAAAATTTGAAAGAAAAAAAAGTTGATTTCAACCAATATTTTAAAAAATAACCCGGGCATCGACCCGGAAAAAAAGAGGGTCAAGGGTCAAAGAGTCGAATCAAGGTCGAATCGGTATCGAACCGGTTGTCAAATTGAATAAACAACTATACACATAAATGCAAAATATTATAAAAACAATAGATTTTTTTAATTTTAGTTTACTAATTTAAAGTAAATAAATATCTATATTTTTCTTAATTAAATTTATTATTATTATTTATTTTACAACTTCAAAAACTAATAATTAATATGTAACAAATAATTTGATTTGTTAATTGAAATAATAAAATAAAATATTTATATTTAAAATTGAAATTCAATTTTATCTTTTCCCACATAGAATGTCAATAGAAAATTAGAAGTGGATCTCTCCTTCAGAAATGAATATCATGATGGTAGAAGTCACTATTTGGCTTACTAGTAAAAATATGTGAACCTTAAATTAGTTCAAAAAAATTTCAACGTTGCTTTTTTTCTCTAATTTGTTTGGATCGGATTATCGGATCGAATATCCGATAACATAGCAAATCGGATATTGATTTAACAATCAAATATCCGTTGAATTATCGAATTGGATCGAATAATTTTCTTATCGAATCGGATATAGGCAGATCTGATCCACATTCGATCCATTTACAGGCATAGGTAATTCCATTTGTACAATGGATGGTTGACAACTTCTCACATGCATGCGTGTCCCGCGTGATTAAAAAATTTCAAAAAAAAAGTGGGCCCCTCATTGAGAGTGTTGGTAATCCAACATTGTACATGTAGCATGGTTGATATTTCAATATGGAACATTTCAAAGACTCAAAAAAAAAAAAAAACCAGTCCAAACAAAACTTACAAATCTTCCCTTACTATGAAGAGTGAAGACCATCCAACAACTTAATATGCAGACTATATGAAGATAGATCATCTCTTGAAAACAAGTTTATACATCTGGCTCTTGCGTGCAGAACAAATTGAAGAGAAGAAATATCATCTTGAACACCGAAATATACCAGATCAAGTTTTAAATAGATCGCAAGATAACATTCCTACGCAATACACACAAAAAAAAAAAATACATGTAAAAACATCTACACTAGAACAGAGAAAAATTAGAGATGATGTAAGGACAGGTTAAAACAGCTGGTATCAAGATTAAACTGCCATCGTGGAGACGGAGTTGGGTTCGTAACCATGAACCCTCAATCGGTAGATGCATGTATGAGAAGCGCTCCCATGGTTGGATGTGAAGTCGAGCCGGATTGTGTCAACAACAGGAGAAGCTTCTAACACATTAAAAGTTTGAGCACTGCTCTTGTCAAGGTCGTAGGTAAATTCTGTCAGGAGGAACATTTTCTCAATATCAATCACCGGATTTGTCAAATCTTGTCCCTGCAGCCATCCAGAGACCCTACAGTGCTTGGGAGCACTGGACCTATCATAAGCCACACTCTGATCAAAATAAAACATGAAAATGTTAGTGAATATACCCTTCATCTTAAAAGTAAAACGAGAAAAGAGCATTTAAATACATATGCACTTGAAAATGCACAACTCTTCAACTATTGACAACATTTGAGTTATGAGGGTAAACTAAAAGCGAAATATCCACCACAAGTTTGCAAAGAGTCATCCAAGGAAAGTTAAAAGAGAAATCAAACAAAATTGAGAAGGGAAAAAACATAAGGACTAGGATATGAAACTCTCAACTTGCAATAATCTCCTTGCCACTCTAGTCCTAGAACGGAACTTCCAAGAAGAAACTAACTGTCAACTTGTAATGATCTCCTTGCCACTCTAGTCCTAGACTAGAACTTCCAAGAAACTCATTTTGTCACCTAGAACTTCCAAGAAACTTACTGCCTCCTCAAAATTTCTAGACAGCAAAATAGAGGAGTAGCTCAGATACAGATGCTGAATTTTTCATTCTGATAATTATAAATTTGTAATCACAAAATGAAGACAAAGAACTCCTAATTTTGTAAATGCTCCCAATAGTGTACATTTTTCTGTGTATATAGCAACTATAAAGAAGCTCTTGAATATACCTGAAAACGTGCAAAATAGATGAGTAACTCAGATACACATGCTGAAGTTTTCATTCTGATAATTATAATTTTGCAATCTCAAAATGAAGACAAAGAACTCCTACTTGTTTATTCTCCCAAAAGTGTACCTTTTTTTGTTTACTTTTACCCCTAAAACAATGTGTATATAGCAACTCTGAATCTCTAATTACGTATGAAGGCAAAGGAATGAATAAAATAATAATTATTAATGTATTGTGTATTCAGGACTTCTTTTGAGATATTTCCAGTTTCCATGGAAGAATATTTATTAGTTTCCAGAAATAAAAAATAAAAATAATTTTTTCATATACAAGCCTTCCCATTCAAAACAGACAGTCTCTACTCCACATCCAAGCATCCAATTAAACGAAGTAACTGATTATAAGGATCCAACTAAATATGCCTACCACCAAAAAATGTCAACCCTACCGATCCAACAAAAGTCATCATGCAATATATCCTTCTCTCTTAAACCCATTTGTAGCCCGTTATACTTCTTCATAGCCTGTCTTCGTGTTCAGATACACTAGTGCATGCTACAAAAGGTAAACAAACGACTTAAATTTTTTGTAATAACTCTATACATCTCGATAATACATCCTCTGCTAGGAACACTCCATATCATCTCCCGAGTGCAATGACAAGTGAACAAAGGTTAGCTAAGACATACCCCATAAGTGACAGCCTATTTTTCAAAATGAATCCGAGCTTTCCTATTCATTACATATTTCTTTCTAGAAAATATTCTCCCACTTTGATGATCAAAAGTTTCGAAAAATAAGCAAGGGCTGAGTTAGTATAGGATAAAGAATCGGATTGGAATTCATAATATAGGAATACTTACATTAAAATCCTTATGACTAAGCAATTGTTTCACTTGTTTAAATTATAAAAACTTTTGGTCAAACCTACTTTTTATCCACACATTTTGTGGAGCCCACAAGTACGTCCACTTATCTACCATCATTTCCACCTATTCATAAATAAAAACTGTACACAAATTCTTCCGAAATGAAGGCTTAGTGAGTACAAGATGTAACTTTGGTATACAATCGAGGAAAAATAATAGAAATGGAGCAGATATAGTCATTAAATTGGATATAAAGGACGAGAAAATAGAACTTTGGGTAGGGAACGGTATTAAAATAGTCAAACTTCTTCTACAAAAGAGTGGAATCGTAATATCAGCACATTTGCTCCACAAACGGGATTAGAACAAGGCAGCAGTTTTTGGAATGAAAATAACGGATTTGATCAAGAAATCCCTTAAGAAGATAAAGTCTTAATTTTGGAATATTTAAATGTCCGTATGAGAAAATGATATGGCTAATTTGTTAGAAAATAGGGGAGGAGGTGGTGCAGGTGTTGAAGGGAACGTGGCGGTGGAACAAGAAGGTTTAGAAGGCAGTTAGACAGACTAAAACAGAATGCTATTGAAACTTGCCAAAATATAAAAATACAGGTGCTCTGAGAAGTACAAGTTAGTTAAACCAAGACATTGGTTTGCGATTCCAAAGTTGCATAATTACTTGGAAACCTGATTAAGGAGGAAGCTATTTATAAAATCTCTCGGCAAAAGGTGAAGAGAAGTGTAAGTCTAAACTAAGTCAAGTGTATTAAAGATGAAAAGTGGTATTTTTGTCTCATAGTGGCGATATCACATATAGATGGAAGAGTTACACGACAAATTATTTAATTAAAAGTATAGACGGAAGAACTATAAACAAATTATTTAATTAAAAGGCACAGTGAGGCCTTCATTCAGCTTACTCGGTCATCTAGAAAAGCAAATCAAGACACCAAAGAGTTAATAGGCCATATGAGCGGCACATAAAACATACCAATGTGAAGCCGCATCCATATGTAACTTCTAGCAAACAAAAATGTACTAATGAAGCATCGTTGATAATATGGAATATGGTAATCAAAAGATTACCTTGGCTACATGTTCCAGTGTCACGGCCTCGGGAATAATGGCAGTCCTAAGCTTGATCTGAACAAATCCACTACTTCCCTTAAGAGGAAAACAGGGCCCAGGCTCCCCAAAGCTTGGTCTAAGCATTTTTTCTGCATCAGCATGAACCTTATTACGATTTGTCAACCAACTCACACTCCCAGTCACTTTCCCAAATGGCTCTGAATGCCTTACCACCACCGCGCCGCCAGATGCCAACGCATAATCCACCATCCCGAGCCCGTCAGCCGCATGCCTCTGAATTTCCTTCTCTATTATATTCCTCGCGTATTCCCTAACCTGGTCCAGGCTAACCTCGTCACCATAACCATCTCCATTCGTCTTTGACTTCCTAAACTCCTCGAAGAAATCACTAAATTCTTCCTTAGATAATAAACTTTTTGACTCAAAATCGCCCATGAACTTCTCAAAAAGTTCACTCCTTCCATCCAACTCTTTCAACTTCAAATCCACTTTTTCCCCTTGGTTATCTAATTTCTCACCAAATTCCTTTTTTATTGAACTGATTCCCTTCTCGTATTTTTGGTCAATGGCCTCCACTTGGACCTGCATGGCTTTTAACGACTTCTTCACGAACTTATCCATCTCGGCGAACTTACCGTCCACATCCCCTGACATTGCTGAAATCCCATCTGTATCATGACTCGACATTTTTGTAACTGCCCACTGGATCATCTGGACAAAACTTACTAATGCCAACAAGAGCACAAAATTCTTAGCAAAAATGCTGATCGCAGTGAGCCAGAATGGCTTATTGGGTTTTGAGGACTTTCTTGACGCTCCATTCCGTCGTGTCGTCGCTTGGTCACCGCTAGTAGTGTTGGGAGGCGGTTTTCTAACGTGGATCACATCCTTGTGGATCCCGGCGGAAGTACCACCGGCGGTTAGTCTAGCACTGGAATTGTTTGTGTTTGTATCGGGAGTTATTGGGGAGGCCGCGGTGGCGACCATCTGGGTCGAGTCAGCAGCCAAATCTAAGCCGGCGGTTGGCTGCTTCTTCTCCGCGGCTCGGCGCCGGGTGGAAGTGGTATTTGCAGTGACGGAAACTGTGGATGCGGACATTGAAGGATATAATTCCGGAATTCAAATGCAAAATTTCGAGAGATCTGATTCGATTTTGAAATTGAATCCAGAAACCCTAGGTGTAAAGAGGGGAAATAGAAATGAAATTTTGGAGAGCGGAGATTAATCGCTAAGGATGCTCTCGTAAATAAAAACGAGCGGGTGGATGAAATACGAACCGACGGATAAGATAAAAGTACAGAAGTAATTAAATAAACTTTAAAAAAAAAATGCTTAAAATACTCCGCTTTTGGTAAGTTTGTTAAAATAGAATAATGTTATTTGTATATAATGTGATATGAAAGAGGGAGAGAGATAAAGAAAAGAGTAATGTTATCAATTCTCAGTGGGAATGGAAACACCGTTTATGTGTCTTTAAATGATAGGTTAAACGAAATGTGAAATTAAATGATTTATTTAATTTTACCTATCATTTAATGCCACATTGACGCCATGTAGACTGTGTTTCCATCCCCAGTGAAGATGAATAAAATTAATCTAAAGAAAAGAAAAATGATATTCATCCCCAGTGGGGATGCATTCTCAATCTATGTGGATGTAAATGATAGGTGAAATTAAATGACTTATTTAATTTCACCTATCATTTAATGCCACATTAACGCCACATAGATTGGGGATGCATCCCCAATAGGGATGAATAACATTTCTCAAGATAGATATAAGAAAAATGATATTCATCCCCAGTGGGGATGCATTCTCAATCTATGTGGATGTAAATGATAGGTGAAATTAAATGACTTATTTAATTTCACCTATCATTTAATGTCACATTAATATTAACGTCATATAGACTAGGGATGCATCCCCAGTGGGGATGAATAGCATTTCTCTAAAGAAAATGATGGAAAGAAAAGAAGTTCATTAAAATTATAGCACTACTCATTAAAATTATCTCGTACTCTTCATTAATATTTGTTAATAATATCAGTACATTTAAAGATGTTTTGAAAATATTGTTTAATAGCAATAAAAATGTCCAAAATTATAAAATTCATTTTTTTTTAAAATATTGAAATTTATTAATTATTAAAAATTTCTTTTCATTTCAAGTACAAATTTTTGAAACGAATGGTGGTTTAATTAGCACAATAAATACACTATGCAAACGCAATGCAACTATACGACTACTGCACACAATTAGCTGATATTTATTTTCTGGATACCATCTTTTCTTCTTATTTGAAAAAGAAGTTTACGGCTCATGGACCTTCTACCTCCACGCAATATTGCTCGATCAGACTTTCTTCCATTTCAATTTTTTATTTTTATGTTTCAAGATCCTGGCCAAATCCTTTAGGAATATCGTACGTTGTTTTCAAATATTTATTGGATCGATGGTGTTGACATATTTATTGGATTCATGGGGTCGACATATTGCACGTGGAGGATTGTCACGATTCATTGTCATATTTGAATCATCGGAACGAACATTCGCGTATGTATGTATGTATGTATGTATGTATGTATGTCTTCTATATATTAAAAGTGGTTATATAACGAAATTTCTTGTTTT